ATGTAGCCTTTGAAGTTGTCACCAAAAGTTACTACTCCTCCACTTTTAGGCTTAAGCCCTTTGAAACGGTTCTTGTTACTAGTAATATGTCTTGAGCATCCACTATCAAGGTACCATGAATTTGCGCTTACCTTTTGTGCCTTGTAGCAATGCTCCTCTACCTACAAACATTTTTTTTATTGGTACCCAAATTATTTTGGGCCCATTGACATTAGTTTCTAATAATCTAGTCCCCTTAGGTATCCATTTTTCTAGGATATCCTTTTTCTTAGTAGCAATGGGCCATTTGAGGACCCGTATGCTCCTAAAAAATTTCCCATTAGAGGTTCTTTGGGGACCTCTATGTTTGTACTGTCTAAAGCTATTTCTAACATAAATAGATATTGAATTTTGACCCTTTTGATAATGATTTGATCCAACTTTGTTAAAATAAGCTTTGAGATCATTAAGTTCCTTTTGATGATCATCATGAACTTTAGAAAGTAAGTTATGCAAATCTTGATTTTTCTTTTCAAACTCATTAATTGACTTGCATATCTTTAATATTACTTTCAAGTTGACTATTGGTCTTAGCTAAGAGATCATTTTCTTTTTTCTTTTTTGAAATATTTTTCTTATTCTTTGAAATCATGATCTCAAATTATAAGGTCAATTCATCATTGGCCTCTTTTAGTTCATCGAAAGAATATTTATTTAAATTGGGTGAACGAGAAGTTACCTTAGTTTATCCCTCGATGGCCATAAGACACAAGTTGGCTACTTCTTGTTCTTCTTCATCGGAGCATTCTTCATCACTCCACGTAGCTACATGTGCCTTATTGGATGACCCATCTTTTCTAATTGAGGACACTCAAACTTGATATGTCCCAGTTTTATGTACTCATAACAATAATGGAGTCTTTCTCCTTAGATTCATTCTTGAATCCCTCTTTTCTTTGAAATCTTATTTCTTTGTTGGACTTCCTGAATCTTCTAAATCTTTTGGAAAACATTGACATTTCCTCATCTTCTTCCTCGCTATAATCACTCTCTTCCTTTGTGGACTTGAGAATAATCCCAAGTTGCTTCTTCTTTTATTCTTCCCTTTTCTTTTGGAGTTTCACCTTATGAGTGAGTAAAGATCCGACCAGTTCATCAAGGGCATACAACTCCAAGTCTTTGGCCTCTTTTATTGCGGTTGCTTTGCCTTCCCAAAATATAGGCAAAGAGGCAAGCATCTTCATTCCCACTACTTCATTGGGATAGATCGTCCCAAAGTTCTTTAAATCGTTGATGATGGCGATAAAATGATCCGACATGGTTTTTAATGTCTTCATCATCCTTCATTTCGAATTTCTCATATTTCAGACTGAGGATTCCAATATTCGATTTCTCACTTGAGTTGTACCCTCATGTGTGACTTCTGCTTGTCTCATATTTCCTTTGCATTTGAGCAAATGATGGCGATAAAATGATCCGACATGGTTTTTAATGTCTTCATCATCCTTCATTTCGAATTTCTCATATTTCAGACTGAGGATTCCAATATTCGATTTCTTCACTTGAGTTGTACCCTCATGTGTGACTTCTAGCTTGTCTCATATTTCCTTTGCATTTGAGCAAGGAGACACCCTACTCTTTAATTCTTGGAAAGAATAGATGCTCCATCAGTAATGACATTGCACACCGAATAGTCGATAGCTTGAATAAATATCATTATTATACTCTTCCAATAAGAATAATTGGCACCATTGAAATAGGGAGGCTTTGAGATGGATTGAGACTCGCCAAAAATTTCGAAAGTAGATGGATTGTCCCTTGATGATGATATGATTGACTTTTTCCTAGAATCTTCTCAAGAGGATGTTAAGCCTTCCAATGATATTAGCTCTGATACTAATTGTTGAGTCAATCAAGAGGGTAAAATAGTCAAGTGGTGGTAAATTGGCAATTAAAAATTTTGGTAGAAGCTTAAATGAAAAATAGGAAATTTGAATACATAAATTTTAGAGTGGTTCAACTTTCTAAACCAAAGTCTACATCCACTACTTTAGCTATCCACACTAAGTATTTTCACAAATTCACTAATTTGTATCAACCTTTAAGGATAAGGTGTAACCTTACAAATCCCTCAAGAATTATACCCCAAATTCTTGAGAACACTCCCTCAAAGGGAAAATTAAAAATTTGCAAACTTAGAAAACACAGATAAGTAAACTATAACAAATAAAACAAATGAGTACACAAGTGTTCTTTGAAAGCAAAAAGAATATTCAAGAATGTTGACTTTGATTTTGGCTCAATGTGATTGTTTTGGCTTTCTTTTTGATTTCTTTTCTTCACATATGACTTGATATTTTGTTTTTATATCTCCTCATTCTATTCTAGCCGTTTAAGTTGTTGTGGGAGTAAATTGAACCGTTGGGATGAAAATTCCAGCAATAAATAATGTCATACGCCTTGATTATTGGTACATCCTGCATTAAATACACAACATTTGACCGTGGGAGTATCGGTACTCTAGTAAGAGTGTCGATACTTTCACAATATCAGTACAAAAAATGGATGTTGGAATTCGTTTTTGTCAAAAACATAAAGGGAGTATATGTACTTCCATCCCGAGTATCGGTACTACTGCTTATTTTAGCACAATAACATCGATACGATACTTGTATCAATTCTACATGAATAGCATCAGTATTGTTCATGCAGTATCAGTACTGGTTTAAAATCGATTTTTGACTCGATTAAAATCCAAAACCCTTTGTAAAATTGTTTTAAAATTATTCCAGTATATTACTCTAATTTTCAAAAAGAGTAAGGAGTAAAAATAGAATATTCATTTTTGGTATATCAAAATACAAAGCATGGTTCAACACAAACCATGGGTAAATTGCTCCCTTGGTTCTCCTCATTTTGGCACTAATGGGCTTTCCCTCAAACTCAATCCTCTTCCTCTTCCGTCCAAATGTTTAAATTAGACTTATTTAAGCACTCTAAGCCTAAAGTTAATACCCGAAACTACTAACTCAGTTTTTGAAGTGTTACAGTTTTAACGAAGGTTATCTCCAGAAACTACAGCAGATTGACTGATGACCTAGCTAAATATGCATGGTCACTCACTAACACAGTCCAGGAGCTCATGCAACCACATAAAGGAATGACAAAGAAAATCAACATGGAAGTTGTAATAGTATAACTATGTAACCACTCTTCTTCTATAAAAAAGAGACATATGGCCTGAACATTCTTTGGGACGAGCATGTTTACTACAATACACCTGAATTGTTCCATTGAATTATTGCATATCAATGAGCCCCCCCCCCCCCCCCAGTCCCCCGTAAATTATAAGTCCAAGTTTACTAATGCATATTTGTAGAGTGTGATACTAATTTGTACCATTAGCCTTGACGTATGCACTTCTAAAGCCTGGGTATCATGTCATCCACAAAACAACACTGAAAATATAAAAATTTAATCATCTTAGAAGTCGTAGCATAATTAATATTAGCTTCACAGTAGGTTTCGAAGTTAGAGCATTTAACTTAAGCAACATATCTATTTCTGCTTCCATGGTATATTCTCCAGTCAAAAGGTCATTAGGTATTTGTTACCTATAGTAGTCCAAATATAAAAAGTATAGGTTTAATAGTATGCATGACCCTTAAAACTCTTTTAAAAAAAATCAATATGACCCTCAAACTATTTTTACACTCAATATGATTCTCAAGCTTAGAAAAAACTCAATGTAACACTTAGACCAACAATTTTTATCGTTAACCATTACAATATTAACGTGACAATTTGTGATGCTGGTGTGATGATCCATGACGACTGATGATGTGATAGATTGGTTAAATTGATTTTTTTGGTCGAGTTCGAGGACCAAATTGATTTTTTTTTAAAGTTCAAGAATTTTTTAGAAAAATATTTTAAATTTAAATTTAAAATATATAAATATATAAAATATTAAAAAAATTAAAATTAAATTACTAAAAAGATTAAAAATATATAAAACATGATCATGTCCACCTATACCTTTAGTAGATAGAGCTACTATAAAGTAATTTCATGCTATGCTTATTCTCGAAAGAAATCAAAATATCATCAATTTAGTTTTCTCATGAGTCAACAACTTCCATCTAAGCATAAAATATATGGGGACAATGAAATGTATCAATTGTAACAACCCAATGATGAAATATCAAGCATTGGAAGAATACATGACATGTACGTGTTCACAAAGATCTAAATAGACATATAATATATTATTGCTAAAAAAATTCAGTCCATTGAAGTAAAAAAATTAAAATGATTATTGATTATTATATTTGAATTTTGGGTATTTAGAAATCTCAATTATCAGGTCCATTATTACTAAAAAACTTTTTTTAAAAACATTATTAAATATTTTTTTAAAAAAAAGTTAAAGATATAATTAAAAATATTAAAAAAATTAATATATTTTTTTCAAGTTATTAGCGAGTTTTTGAGCAAGAAATCGAGTTACTTGTGTCGACTCGTTAATAACTCGAGTCAAATTCAAGCTCAAGTCGAATTCACTCGAATCTAGTGTTGATAGAGCTTTAACCGACTCAAACTCAAATAGCTTACGATTTGTCTCATCTCATTTACAACCCCACGTCTAAAATATTTCAATCGAACTCGTATGATCACAAACCACATTCTAACATGTCAATATAACCATTATGGCAATCATATCATGTCAATGAAACCAATAAGGAAATTTATGCATCATGCATAACTTCTCATAAACGTGTTGACATATGAGAATCAATACATAGATCATGTTAGAACATAACTCAAGGGTATCATGAACCATCCAAAGCACAATTTCATCATTTTAAGCAGATGATACGTGGGAAAGCAATAATGTCATCTCTCTAAAAGGTAAAAGAGACGCAAGTGATTGCCACAATGTCATATCTCAGGGGACAATCTAACCCACGATGTGAAATCATGCAAGATTGAACATTCCAAGATCACATAAGAATATGCTGAAACAGCATTATTAAAGTAGGTGCCCAGTTATTTACCTATTCGTTCGTTTGATTTACATATTCGAGTGGCCCACGCGAACTTGAACTCGGTGCCATGAAGTGTTCAGAATACCTCTTAGGTTCCAAATATCTCTCACGTTTTCAGGTTGGACATTTGCAGCCGAATCCACTTGTGAATCGATAAAAATAAACGACTTGCAACCATAAAACTGCTAGCAATGCAATGGACAGCCAATGACCACTTTTGATTATATAAATTTTACAAGAACCATAAGTAGGAAATATAACAGATGAACAAATATTAATCAGCGCACTTTGCATTCGAACATGGTACGAAAATTAATCGTACCGCTTTGACAACGATCTCGGTGCTGTAGAGGATATCAACTGTGATCTCAAAAAGCACCCATGCCCATTTGTCACTGCTTTCGTGATCCGATATGGAAGGGATACCGGTTTTCTGAAATCTTGAGGCTTCTAACCAGATGTTGCCACCATCGATAGACACATCTACTCTCTCGATTCCTAGGCCCCCTCCAGATGCTGCATATCCACCAATTGTTATCTGCATAGCATTCGATAGCATAAAATCCAACCAACTTCGAGTAGCATTCAATTTGGAGTGGAACCATGGAGAACAATGTTTAATGTAACAGGAAAGGGGTCATTGATTGAGAATCTAGTTTTACATCCCTGCCAATTGGTCTGAATTTACAACAACAGAAACCTTTTCCCCACAGATATATGTGGATTGAAGTAGTCAGTCTTTCACAAACTGAGAAAACCTCGATATAATAAGTATGATTACCCTATATACCATCAATGGAGCTTTTTAAATCGATATGTAGGTTCATACTCCAACCTTTTAAATCCACTTGTGGAGTTCAAAGAGACTTAGTGCTGGCGTATTGGACAATTATCTCGAGTATAAACACGAAATACCCTTTATAAAGCTGGGAATAATTCTAAAATCATACAAGTCAAATGAAATATGACTGAATAAAGGCAAGTAAATCTCATAATGACAGGACTGTAATCATGTTTACATACACTCACACTTATACAAACCGATAATTGCAAAGAGAACTAACCTTTCCGGGTTTAATGAACTGCACGTCTTCCAAAGAACAAATAACAGACTGCCAACAGCAAAGAAACTAATATTAGTCAGGACATTATATAAGCCCCTAAACTATACTGCTTTCTTATAAAAGCACCAATCTTTTTTTTTACACCTAGATAGGCCCTTATTTTAAATAAACTTTCTTCAAGCTATTAAAAACATTCAATTTACATATAAGACTAGACTAATTCAATCAAAATCTAGTAACACCTGAACTGGGAAATCCATTTGTGGCCGCCTGGTGGACCAATAGATATTATCCCAGTCGACAAATGGTGGAAACATCTTGTAATCCTTTTGCATGAAGAAGCCGTATGAGGTAGTAAATGGAACTCAATCAGATAACATGGAAAATGATAAATCAATTTAACATAAAGATAAAACCTCTCTTCAACCTGGAATTCTTCTGCTATTATGTTGATAGAATCGAGCCACTTGACAGAACGTGCACCTATAATGCCAGGCACAATTATTCTCAACGGATAACCATGATCCCTATTGAGAGGCTTTAACATGAAAATGAAGAAACCTTCATGTCAGCGAAATCCATTGGGACATTATAAGAAAAAGAATGTTCAACCAAACTATATAAGTATCGATTTCATGAACTAAAGGCATCGAAATGTACATGATCATGATTTTAGAATTACAATTAAATTCCACGTGTTTTCCACCAGACTGAGTGCTACTTGTCAAGTTTGGTATCCCGGCAAGCTCAAGTACATCAGCCAATTTGGCACCACCCCAGACAGCTGAAAGGTCGGAAATACTGTATAAAGTCAAAGATAACAGCACGTCTATAATGACAATTAGAGATGTGATTATGTATACAGAATTTACAGAACTACGCAGACTCTACTTCATAATTTTGTACACCTATGTGAAGCATGTCTCTACCTAGTGAAATATAAGTTAAAAACTAATGGCAAGTTGGAGATCGAAAAACAAACCATTCCCTATAGCAGAAACATCCCATCCAACTCCTCTCACTTTCCGGGTTTTGCTCATGGCAGTCCTCCTATTACCTGCACACTGAATAAAACATCAAAGCCAGATCAGTGAACACATGCAATGATCGCAGTGCTGCATAAATAACTCCAAATATGTTGAACAAAACTTACCTGTAAAATGGCTGTCACGTTGTATTTTGGCAGCATCCTATTATTCATTTAAAAGAAATCTCAATACACTGTTCGATCACAGACTAAGTTAATAAGTTGAAGAATAAAATCAGGGAAGAAACTAGAGAATAAACTTGATTCATGGAAGATTAATTATCAGAAATATCTCCTATCAAAAAAAATTTATCAGAAATATCTAAAATGTATAGTTCGTTTCTTGGATTGCAATTGGTAATGCTATCACTCACCTGACATCTCTCATACACAGCTTTTTCGGCGTTTGAATTAGACCAGTTATATCAACACAGAATCTGTGTTTCCGAAACATGTACAAAACTCAGTAAGGATCCCCATCAAGATAAATAACATAAAATGTTCTGATATAAGTTAAGTTATCGTGGAATAGGAGGACAGAATCTATAACCTCTCTCTGTCATCAACTACTGGGATTGGTCCATGATTTCTCTTGTAGAACAAATCCACCGGAGTCACATAAAAGGAAATCAAAGCTGAGCGAGGCTGCTCAGCATTAAAAGGCTCCTGGATCAATAACGTCAATACCAAGAGGATTACACATTGAGACTGTAATCAATCAATACAAATTCCAGAACTATTGTTTTTTTTTTTTTTTTTTGCAAATGGAAACTTAAAAAGGAGTAAAGGAAAATAATTTTGGCTTAAAGAAGGCACATATGGACCATGCCCAATTCCAAGAGGAAATCAAATCTGAGCGAGGCGGCTCGGCATTGAAAGGCCTCCTGGTTCAATGACGTCAATACCAAGAGGATTACACATTGAGACTGTAATCAATCAATACAAATTCAAGAACTAATTTTGGCTTAAAGAAGGCACATATGGACCATGCTCAATTCAATTCAATTCAATATGCAAAGAAACATCTTTATTAGCAATTCAGATACCCTTTTTTACAATTAATTAAATGAAAACTGGAATGATATATACAATGAATCAACTTTCTTTCGCAGAGGCAAATAAAAGTACGCATCAAACTTCCTTTCTCTAAACTAAATCGGCATGAAAACAAATGAAGTTCAGTAATCAGATGTAAAGCGAGTGATTAAACAGCAAAATGAGTTGCCTTGGAGTTGATTTGAAGACAAGGACGGCATGGCGTTTCTTGAGAATAATCGGAAGCTCCCTTTATTCCTGGCATATTTTCACAGCCTTCCCTTCTTCTGCAATTCTCCAATAACACAAAACTGAAGCTATCAAGTTGAGCCGCCTATATGAAGAAACAGTGTGTTGGTTTTTAGTTTTGTTTCCAAAATGAAAATGCTTAGGGTGATGAAGAGGCTGCGATTCCAAAGGGAAGAGGCCAATCATCCACCGTCTATATGCAAGTAAGACCCACTTCAACAACGAAGATAAGCTTCGGCTTTAATTAACTCTTAATATAAAAATAAGAGGTCTAACTATGCAATTGAAAAACGTTGTAATGCTTAATTTTTTTTTATTAAAAAGAGGTTTCTAATATTTTCTCAATTATATTTTAAGTGTTTATTGTTATATTTTTTTAATTTTAATAATAAAAATTTTATTTGAAAAAAAAGAAAAGAATTAAAAAAGTTAATTTATTCATTAAAAAAACTCAAATTTTTACTAAAATTATAAAAAAACCAAAAAAATATAAATTTTTTTTATTTTAAAGACATTATCAACTATCATCAGCCATCTTCGACCATCGTCGTCGAACAGTTTGGTTTTGATTGGAATTGCACAGAGGTTTGAATGATGGTGGTGGTGTGGCTTATGGATATTGAAATCGATCGGAATCGAAGAAGAATGACAACGGTCCGACGAACCTTTGAACGTTTATCTATGACAAAAGGTGGCAGATTACGGTAAAAGACTAACAGGGATTTGATCGGGGTTGACACCGGTGCTGGTGATGATAGCGATGACGATCATGGTTGGCTGGCCGCTAGCTATGGAATGGGGAAAGGGGAAGGGGACGAGCTGTTGTTTGGTTAACAGTCGGACATCTAAAAATATTAGGTTAAAAACATTAGGAATCTAATTTTAACGAAAATTCTTTAAACATTAAAATATTTTTCGAGAAATAATTTTTTATTAATAAACAAGCCACATACGAAGATAAATAGCATTTTATGGGTTTTATTTTTTTCCTGTGGTGTTTAATTTATGACGTCTTCTTCAAGGAATCCGTAGAGACTATGGGACCCAAGTTTGTGGGTTATGAATGCAATTCAATCTTGCAGTTAGGTTGTTAGGCATAGATTATTTCTTGGTTAGCATAGTTGTTAGAGTGATTACGTTTCTGTCAGACTGCTCACAACTGTTGACTATCTACTCTTTCATTTGTATATATTACCTTGGTTGAGATATTACAAAGATTTATTAATAAAATCTGGAGAATGTTTCTTCTCTTTTTTTTTACTGTTGTTAAATTATAACATGATATCATTCTCCTTTGATTCTAATGGACTTGTTTTGTGAATGCTTCTCCTAAAAGTTTTTGTTGTGTGATTAATTTAGCATGTGCTCATGAATATTGATCCTTCAACTGATGATATTGGTCATACTTTTCTGGTGGTGATTGGTGCAAATGATGCGTCAAAAGCTCTTCCTCTACCACGTTATTTGTTCATCATCTACCTAAACTTGACATTGTAAAACTTTTTTCAAAATTCTCTTTTTCTTTGAAAGAATAGGGTGTTTTTAGGACTAATAATAAAAAAGTTATTTGTTTGTTCATCATGGTTGTAGGTTAAGACTCATAAATTGACTTTTTCTTGCCCAAACTAAAGTACACTAGTTCTTTCAACTTATTATATTCGATGTATGGGATCATGCTCCTATAGCCTCAGATAAGTTTTGTTATTGTGTGTCCTTCATTAATGTTTTTAGTATACACACTTGTTTATATTTACTGAAAAAGAAATCTGAAATTTATTAATGTTTCTTTAATTTTCACAAAATGATTGAGGTGTAATTTGATTGCCAAATTAAACACTCCAAACAAATGAATGAGGTAAGTATGTGGCTCTATAGTAGTGATTAGCAACACATGATATTCAATGTAGAGTGTCTTGTTCAAACACTTCTGAACAGACTGGTAAGGCTGAAAGGAAGCATCGTCACAATGTAGATATGGGTCTTATGTTGCTTACACAGGCTTCTTTAACATTCACTTTTTGGAGTCATGCATTCTCTAAAATTGTCCATCTCATCAACAGACTTCCATCTACGGTGTTGGATAATAAGTCTCCTTATGAGGTGCTATTTAGTATAAAGTCGGATTATGCATTTCTTTGAATGTTTTGATGTGTCTGCTACCTATTATTACCATCGTTTAATCAATACAAGTTAGATTTTTTTGTCTAAACAATGCCTTTTTCTTTGCTACAATGTATCTCATAAAGATATAAGTGTTTGAATGAGAATAACCGTATGTTTATTTCTCGTCATGTTATATTTGATGAATCTTTATTTCCTAGTGCAAGAAATTTTCGAGCTGTGAAGGCTGTTACTGATAGAAGTTCTAGTAGTTTTCCACTTGGTGTTGTTACCTCTGTTAATAAATTCCTTATGTTGCTTCTATCCCTCGAATAAGAATGCTCTTGTTGTTGCTTCTACTCCTGATAGAAGTGTTTATGCTACTGCTCCTATTTAGATCACTCAGTTGTTGCCGTTGATGAAAGTTTGGTTCAAGGAAGGATCATATTATTAATGATAATGTTTTTGTCCATGTGATGGGCAGGTTGTTAAGGATGTTATTCCTCGACATGAGTGTTTTTTGCTTATGCTCATTGTGTTTCTGAGGGTGTATCTTTGGAACCAACTCATTTCGATAGTACTTGTCTTGAAGGCATTGCTAATCACGATTCTGGTAATGATAAGGGAAGTTGGCAATGGTTCTGTAAAACAGGCATCCTATGTAGATTAGGAGTAAGAGTAGGATTAAGAAATCGAAGGCGATTTATACAAATAAGGATGATGTGCCCAGATTTGATGCTGAACCTCACACGGTTGGAGAAGCAATGAATAGATTGTCTTGAAAGCAAGCAGCTCATTCTGAGTATGATGCCTTAATAAAAAATATTACTTTGACATTAACCATGTTGCCTGCTTATCGTAGAGCTGTTGAGTGCAAATGGATATTTAAGCTAAAGAGGAATGTTGGTGGGTCTATTGCTCGATATAATTCAAGACTTGTAGCAAAAGGGTACTTACATCAAGCGGGGGATGACTTGTATGAAGCCTTTAGCCTGATGATTAAATCGACTATCGATCGTACAGTTTTATCTATGGCAGTTGCAAAAAAGTAGGGACTTAGGCAAATTAACATCAGTAAAGCCTTTCTTAATGAATATTTAACTGAGGAGCTTAATATAACACAACCCCTTGAAGACAATTATGTTTCCTTTAAACAAGACTTTATGGTTTGAGGCAGACACTGTGAGCTTGCTTTGAGAAGTTAAAAGATTCTTTGGTGTCTGAAGGATTTGTCGTTTCAAAATTTGATGTTTCTCTATTCTTCAAGAAGAATGTGATTGTTTGATTTATCTTTTGGTTTATGTGGATGACATTATTCTCACTGAAAATGATGATGTGGGATACAAAAGGTCATAACCAATCTTGATATTGTTTTTCTGTAAAGGACCTTGGAAAACTCAACTATTTTTTTCTTTTGGGAATTCAGGTATCCTACACATGAGATGGCCTTTTTCTTAGTTAGAGAAAATACATTGAAGAGCTTTCTATGTAAGAGTGGTCTTGAGAAAGCTAAAAGGTTGCCTACACCCATGGCGGCCAGATATTATGTTTCGCTGTTAATCCCATCTGCTCAAAGTGTGATCCCATCTTAAATCTTATTATTAATATGTAACTATTACGAGGCCTGATATTATGTTTCGCTGTTAATCGTGTTTGTAAAATTCTCCAGGAACCTTTGGACGAGCACTATGTTGTTGTTAGGCGTACCGTGGAGTATCTTGAAGGTAAAACTGAGTTTGGTTTGAAATTTACTAATTCTGTTTGGTTGTCTATAACTAGTTTTGCATATGCTGATTGGGGGTCTAATGTTGATGATTGTCGGTCAACTACTCGGTTTTGTATATATTTTGCTGGTAATCATGTGTCTTGGGCGTTTAGCAAGCAACATGATGTGTCCAAGTCTACGTTTGAAGTAGAATATTGAAGTATCACTTGTACAACAACTGAGGTAATTTGGTTAGAGTCTTTACCGTAGGAACATCATGTTGTTCCCAATGGGAAGTATATGGTGTGGTGTGGTGCGATTATTCGAGTGTTGTAGTTGTGTCTACAAATCTAGTAATGCACTCTAAATTTAAGCATGTTGAGATTAATTTATTTTTTATTCGTGAGAAGATCACATCAGAAAAAATTGTATGTGAGTTAAGTTCCTTCGTGTAAGTAACTTGTCGTTGTTATGACACAACCTTTATCGGAGTTGTCTTTTGCTCGATGTAGAGGCAAAGTGAGAGTTCATCGTATGAGGTTGTTATTACTTAATATTTATTTATACAATATTGTGGAGAAATAGGTAATGAACTGTTGATTTATGGCGTTTGCTATATCTTTATGAATGATGGTAGAGACCCAAATTACAGTGGATGACGGAGGAAAAAGATAACAGATTTGCTGTCTCCACGGACGAAGTCATCCCATAAATCACTTAGGACTCTTTCTCATTGTACGCCAAGGGCTCAACTTTAGAAATTGAGGTCAAGCAATGGAATTGTATTTGCAATAGTGTATAGGTTCTTGTTACACATTTTTATGTGTGAGAACTCTCTAAAATAGTTATATTTTATATCCTTTTTACTTAGGTTAGGTTTGCATTCTAGCATATTTAGGATCATATTTAGATTTATTTTAGCATATTTTACATCATTTGTATAGTGGGATTGAATTCTTGATACTTAGGTTGATTGTAATGTTTTTGCTGCAAAATTGATGTTGTGACATTGTTAATGTTATAGATGTTGTACGCTGATGTTGGACTGGATTACCAAGACGATGTTGTAGCCTTTTAGAGTCACCAAGCTGCTCGAGAAATTTTAGGAATTGATAGTTGTTCACAAATGGTGTGGGATTAAAGGTTGGAATTTGAATTTAAAAAAGAATTTTTAGAAAAAGGGTTCTTATTGGTGGAAAGTTTAACGTTGATGGACTATAAATATAACTTTTTCTACACATTTTTCCTATCATCAAAAACCCTAGCCATCTCCTATTTTCTCTCCTACCATTACCATGGATGCCTAAACAGTTCATTGGGAAGTGCAGAAGCAGCCGGGGAGCATTGATGTGTAGCAACAACGATCAAGTGAAGTTCTACTTCGTTAGTTCTGTTATTTTGGATGTTATTTAGTTTCGAACATAAGGTGTTTGATTAAATGTTTATTGTTATGTTTTATGTTTAAACTTTGTTTTTGTATGCTGCCATGCTTATGTAAAGATTTTAGAAATAAATTCATCTCTATGTATCTGATTTCTTTAATTTTTAGAAATAAAAGTTGTGGATATTTATCATACTATCTTTTTGCAATGTTGGTGTTCATGAAAAACAAAGTTTAGTATATAGAGATGTATACTGCCAATCGTCCAACATTGTTAACTATTTTATTAAACTGAATTAATGAAGTTTGATTCTTGTTAATTGAATGTTGTTAATCATTGCTAGACACATGAATGCACTTTTAAGCATACCCATAGTGGGAACGACTAAATAGCACCCGCATCCATTGCATCCTTTGATATGTTGCTCACCTAAATGTTGTAGCACTGCCTAACACTTATCATTCTGATTTTTATACTTTGTTCTTTATTTCTATTTCCATCATTAAGCCTTACATCATTTTAAATCTTTCACCCAACTCTATTGTAATCTGTTTTGCTCTCTGTGGGTTCGACATCCGAAGGTT